CTGCCAGCACGACTGGAGCTTGGGGGACTGGGAGCAGATGAGCCGGCAGCTAGAGCAAATGTATTCATTTACACTCTAACTAGATCCAAATTAATTTGTGAAACATTCCCTTTGGGCCTGATAGGCTGTTGAAAGCAAAAGACCATTTGTTTCTCCTACTGACACGTACGCTAATTGCTAGGTTCACGTCTGCCAGGCTCCTCTTCTCATGGAGGGCTCCTGTCCTCCCTATCCCTGTATCTGCAAGGGTACCACAGTTACATGTTCTCAAAGACCTTTCTGTAACTCCACACCATGGCAATGCAATCCTACATGTAACTATATAGGCACTGGCAGCGTATCTCATCGTTCTTTTGAGAAACTGAGGCTGGTGATGACATCATTTTGTCTCAAAATGATTTTTTCTGTTTTTATAACGAGCACCACAAGCACTATCCTGCTTCCCTAATGAAGCACAGTTCATTTTTTGCCTAAAAGATGGTATAGATAGGATAATGCAATTTCTTAATACCATTCCGATTATATAATACGGCAATCAGAAAATACTCACATTTTAACTTTCAAACTATTATCATGACTGAACAGAAGAATAACTATGGAATAAGGAAAGTAAATTCACATGGCTGCTTTGCAAGCTGCAAACTACTTCCATTACACTCAGAGATGTAGGAAACAGAGATACTGGACTTCCCTCAGTGAAGCAGGTGAGTATTTCCCTGCATCTGCCCTTTCTTCCTTATCTTGCACATAATAGGTGGTTTGATTTCCAATAGCATTAAATCAAAGGCTTTGGTATGAACACATTGGACTGCTTCCAGTAAGCAGCAGTAAGCAATAGTAAAGTACACATAATAAGGAAAATAATAAATATCAAATTGGTGAAACAGAGAAAAACACAGTGCAACAAAGACAGGGATTTAGAAAAGCCTATAGGTGTAACTTGATTAAAAATAATACAGAATTTTCAAATATGCAATTGTGTAAAAAAGAAACCACAAGATAAATTCTTCCAAAAAATCTCATAGTTTACCATAAAATATTGAATGTTCAAGCAACTACTGCTTATTCTGCCGGCAATCAAACAAGATAAATATTTGACCATATCTGTGGTAGTTCTGCAGCTCTGTAGGACTGCTGGTGTTAATTCTGAAAGAGTCCTCATAAAATATCAGGTGCAATCCATCACAAGAAGCCTATTGCATTTGAGGAAAAAAAGTAATGGGATAAAAGGAGTAAGACAACTTTGAAGAAAATAATTAAACCAATTAGTTCAACGGAATTGGGATTTGTATCTTACAAGCAGTTCAGCTCTGACAAGTCGCTCCCCAGAAGGGATTCTTCATTGTCCAATTAGCAAACCTATTAGCAGTTCTGTCCAAATTGTCAGCTAAATACCCTGGGAGAAGTTAGTGATGGACTATTATGAGAAGCTGAGAGCCAAGAGGGAGAAGTAAAGGAAAAAAGTGAAAAGGGAGAGAGAGGGAGAGGGGAACCCTCCCCTCCTGGCAAACCCTGCTCCTGCCAGCAGCCCTGAGCAGTGGAGATGCTGAATAAGGTGAATGCAGCATTTATCCGTCACCGGGAGGGGTGGCCCCTGCGGACCAACAACATGAGATTTTTGGTGGCTCAGACTTTTCTGTAAGGAATTCTTTCTATGTGAAAAGTTGTGACAATTTAATGATATTTTGTTAATCTGCCCAGGAAAATGCAAGTAAAAACCCGAATGCAGATTTATTTACATCCAGTCACACCATCCTAAATTTCATGTACGATTTAGGTTAAAAAGTCCTCTCAACGTATGCGACAATTTGAACTTATCTATATACATTCTTTGGAGTTAATTGAGTTAAGCCAGAGCAACATTTCTGATACAAAACAGGCCAAAATCAAACAAAATTCGGCATCAGGCTAATGCAGGGCGGAAGGGAGCGCAGGAGGTCTCTGGCGGAACCTCCTGCTCAGAGCAGGCTCAGCTCTGAGGTCAGCCCAGGCCACTCAGGGCTTCATCCAGTCGAGACTTGAAAACCTCCAGGGACGGAGACCGCACCACCCCTGCGGGCAACCCGTGCCTCTGCCTGAGGATGCTCATGGGGGAAAAAGTGTCTCCTTTCATCCAGGCTGAAACTCTTGCGTTTCAACTTACGGCCATTGTCTCTATCTTCTCACCCAGCCCCAACTGAAAGAGCCCGGCTCCATCTCCTCAAGGACCTCCCCACAGGCACTGGGGGCTGCTGTCAGGTCCCCCCGAGGCCGTCTCTGCTCCAGGCTGGACAAGCCCAGCTCCCCCAGCCTCTCCTCGCAGGACCAGTGCTCCAGCCTGACCATCTCAGGGGCCTCCCCTACCACTTGTCCAGTGTCTTTCTTGTACTGGGAGCCCCAAGCTGGGCTCAGGATTCAGACACAGTCTAACGACTGATGAGTAAAGGGGATTAATTATGAACAGGGTACAGGCCCCTGGGATGACCAGAGCCCATCTCATTCCTTTAGCTACCTTTTCCTAATGCTTTCCAGTTGTTGTTGCATTTACCAACTAATAATTTTGCGTGCTTCAAATCCTAAGCAAATGTCAGCTAAAATACATTTTTTGTCAAGCATATCCCCCCTAGCTTGTAGCTGTGAACCTGGGTGGGAACTGATGCCCCAAGGCGAGCTTTGGTGTATGCCAGACCCTGCGGAGGAGCTGGCACTCTCCAGAGTTCTTCTCCCGCCACAGAAATTCATTCCCTCATGGCAGGGCCCCATGACTGCAGCAACTGGTCGCCAACACATGAACTACAGGAGAGTGCACATTATTTCTTGCTTATTTACCCCCACTGACCTCCACAAATTATTCTACCAGGGCACCAGTTTCTAAACACGTTATGTAGTGCTACCACTAGAGTATCACACTGGAGCACAGAAGTTAGTACTTTCCTCATTAAAATATTTTATTCGTAAACAAATAATAAAGGTGGAGGCAAATATTTGATGACATGATCGAGTTTTAAAATATCTCAGAATAAACAGAAGCAATGCAAGCTAATTAGTTATGACAATGTCATATGCTCATAGCAAAACAGGTCTAATCCTGAAAGTATTTGGAACCTTCTATGGCCTTGTCTGAAATACAAAAACACGAGGAAATCAGCCCCATAATTAATTTACTATTGCTTAATAAGGCATCAGGAGTGAGGACTGACCTCCCCAACTTCAGATGTCTAAATGCGGGTTGAGCCAGTCACTGTGGCAGTAAAAAGCAGTAGAAGAAACTGACAATTTTAGGTCTATATTGGGATAAAATAAACTGAGCTTACAAATTTTCCTTTCTCTCCACTGATTATAAAGGAGCATAGGACAACCTCTGCATTATGCCTCCCATCCCATGATTCACATTCAGAGATGTGTTCCTGGCCCACCATTTGTGTCAAGTGATACAATTTATCTTAGGTCTCTTTCACTGTGACCTAAGCACAAATAAGTGGTATTGGTATGTTCACGCAAACATACCTGCTGTTCAGCTCAAAATGGTAACTAATTAAGTTTCAGCAACCCGTTTGTGTGCTGCACCCTCTGTGAAAAACAAGAGCGTTAGGAAAATGACAGCTTAAAACCTGCATCTGTGCTGTGACTGAAGTTACATGACCAGTTAGCACAAATTCAGAAATGCTTAACTCAAGCAGGGTGGGTGCAATGCACTGTTTCAAGTTATTCTATCTGCATAACTATAATGCCCCAAGGTTCCAGCTAAGATCAAAGTCCAACTATATTATAGGGTGCATAAACTCATAATAACACTTTGTCTGCCGTGGACCGAAACACACCAGTGCAAGCAGCTGAGGATATTACTACTTCCAGGTGTATACTGCATCCACGTTATGCGGAGGAGATGTTGTGTCTCCTGTAGGAATGGCAGCAGTAAAGCATAAAGGCTACATCTATGCCACTGCATCCTTCCCTCTGTAGGGGAGCAAAACAGCAGATACCTGGGGTCCCTTCCGCTACGGCTGTTACATTCACTACATCTGAGTCCTAAAGGAGCAGTCCTTGCTTCAGATAATGTACAAAATAGACACGGCAACAGAGAGGTGAACTGGCTTCTCAAGATCACTCAGACGGTCAGGGCATAGCCTGGAAGAAAGTCCAGACCGATACACTACACCATACTGTCTCCCAAACTAGCTATTAAATCAAAATCTCTTACTTCTCATAGACAAGTCTTAAAACGGGGCACATATTTATGCAGTAATGCCAATGGCCAGCATCAAACATCTCACTTAAGCTGGGGGCAAAGCCATGGGGTATCAAGTGCATGGTCTTAAAAAGACCGAGCAGGTCTCTGGTAAGTCTTACAGAACCAGGGATAGGGGATGAGGGGGGAATTCTGCTCTATTTACTCACATTTAAATCATCATACAGGTACAAAAGTGCCAAAGGGAGGAAAAGGAGGAGCAATTCTTTCCCCTACATTGTGGAACAGTTACAGGTATAAGGTGAAGTGACCCTTACTGCTGTTGAGGTCTCAACTCACTGGTCAGTGAATCTACTCTTTGCTCAATACAACCTTCTCCTATCTACAGTCAGTGCCTTACAAATTAACCTCGCTGTCACAGTGAGGGCTTATTTTTTCCAGTGACAAACAGCTAATGTTTGCCTATTTCAGATCCCTGCATAAGCAAATATTGTTCAAGCACTGAACTCCTAAGCAAGCTGAAAAATGCATTATTTAAAACATGATTGTGTTCCAGCATTGCACAATATTAATATTGCTAAAGCTACTTAATGCTTAGACATCTAATGCATATATATAGTAATTTGACAAATTTTAACTGAACTTTTAAATAACTGTTTTCAGTTATTCATGAATTACATCACAACAATTTTGGACCAAATGTTTCACTGGTCTCTATGTTTGTGCAGATCATTGGTTGCACATTCAGTCTCCTCTTCTGCATGACCAAAAATTTCCACTTTTTATGAAGATCTGCTCTTCACTTGGTATCTCCTGTTAGACAAGGTACACCTCAATCAGATTTCATTTGTTTTTTCAGTTTGGCAAGACCAGTGAGATATTCATCTCTCCGTTTTCTTCTGGCATCCAGGACTTTTGGAACAACCGGAACTTTTTCAGACATTGCCTGGAACAGAAAATTTAAGATGATTAAATCTCACTTTCCGAGTAAAGTTTCTCACCAGCATTATTTTCCTGCTTTTCCTGCGTCAGACCACCAAGTAATCATCCACACAAACTGTAATTTAGTCTATCACAAGCAATAGGCCACTAATTCTTTACATGGGTGACTGGAAATGAGCTAACCTGTACGAGAAGAAAAGTGCTCCCACTTGGAGAAGGTTGGCCTGAATGTGGCAATGAAGGTGCCTACAGAAAGGATCAGCCTCTTCTCTCGGTTTGCCCCACACAGCCACTGTCTAGTCTCTTTGATAATAACCTTTTATTAAGTAGGAAGGAGGCAACCTGGTCATTTCTGTGGCTGAAAATGTGCTCTAAACTAAATTCCTGTGTGTGTGTATTTAAAACTGTGATCTCTCTTCTGGCTCCTAATAAATGTAACGAGGGATACCGTGTTTATTAAAAACATTTTATCTTAGGAGTGCCAGTTATAATCAAAATGACAGGGGAAGACACATAACAAGCGCAGAATTATGATTTTTGTTGTTTATTGGAATATGGGGGACAGAAGGTACAGTACTATTTGAGGAAACAAAGGTGGAAGTCTGAACAAGTTAGCACGCAAAAATGATATTTAAAACAAAATGGGGAAAAAAAAAGTATTTCTGAGTGCACAAATTTGTCTTAGAAGTGCAAGTTAAATGTATCACTGAAAGGAGAACAAGAGCTAGTAAGCTTTGGCCAGCTAGTACATTGTACCAGATTTTCTTTCAAAGAAAAAAAGCTGTTTTGAGAATGCAGGTAGAGATCACAAGGTCATCTTTGCCAAAATAGCACCTGGGGTTTAAAAGGCAAGTGTTGAGAAACTGGGTAAAACCTGCTACCAATGACTAGCAAGCTGCAGTCACTCCAGAAAAAAATCAGGGGGAGGGACAGAGGAGTAAGATAAGAAATGTTTAATGTTTTACTCTTAAGAGAGGATTCTTGCAAGTGCATCTTTGGCACTGAAGACTGAAGATAATAAAGGGACACAGAAACAGAGGCTGAAGTGGAATCCAGCTTTCTATAAAGAAACCCAAACTGTTTTGTATCAATTAAAAGCTTCTAATCGTGAATAACTCCACAATTATTATTGACTGTTATTATAAGCAGTCTATGTTGTTTAAGCATAAAAGAATCTCCTTCCTTTCTAACATAGCTGATGTTGAAATTCCATCAACATAAAAAGGAACAAAGATGCTGTCTTCCAGATGGACTGCCTCCATATTTGGAATTAATCTCTGCCAGCTGATCAGGAACGATTCAACACCTACACGTGTTCTTTAGTGAAGCATTAAAAAAGGCAACTATGAAAAGGCAGAGTTAGGAAATGCCAATACTTCAGTTAATTCCTATGGCCATACAAAATAGCCTATATAGCGATTATAAACAAACTGTGGGCCTCGAAATCTTAACAGACAAACTAGGTCCCAATCCAGCATAGCACTTAAACACATCTTATCTTTAAACATGTAAGTAACCTTACTGGACTGCTCACATGCTTATTTGCACACATTACAGACTGGAGCTCTAGTTTGTAAAGTATACAAAACCAAGAAAAATAACACCCAGAAGAAAAAAGCTACAGGGTTTACGCAGGAAGATGGAGTAGAAGGAAGACACGGGGAGGAAAGTCATGTAGGAAAGGAAGCTTGGAGCTGTGCATATTATGGCAGAGGACACAGGACAGAAGTGGTAAGAAATAGCGTGGAGGATTTGTCAATAACCCAGAGCTGCTAGCAGTTGACTCCTCTGTCTCATAATAAAGTTACTCAGCTGCTAAATCACTTTCCCTTGATGTATGTTAAATTGCTTTGGAAAGGGACTTAAATGCATTCTGTCCTGATCTTTTCACTTAAAGTACACATTCACACAAGAAATACAGACTACAGATACCTCTAAGAGTAAACTGAAATGGTACAAATGTTAAAATAAAAGCCAACATTCTTTGTTCTGCATGTCACTGCATTTATCAACTCTGTATTTACCTGACTGATTTTCTGCTCAATTTCACCTGAAAATTCTGGAACTGGTCCAAAGGTGTTCAGAACAAGTCTCATACCTTCACGGTATCTTTCACAATAATTTGAAATACCTAAAAAATAAGAGCAAAAAATTACATCTCAACAGAAGTTCCTACTTAAGTTCAGAAAGGCTGCCTGTGGTTAAGCACTGTCTTAAATCAGAGTCCAAAAAAAGGTGTACTCTTATGCCTAAGACACCTAATTGTCACAAAGAAAAAACAGACTCTATCCACCACATTTTCATTAAGGTTCATGGAAAAATCATTTAGGACATGCCTTCGTTGCAAAACCAATTAATGTTACATACCAGCAGGCAATGCTATGTGAGGGGTGTAGTACACAACCATGGACATACTTGCACTTTGTTACTTGAGACCAGAAAGCTTCCCTGGCCACAAGGAGAGTGCTCTCACCTCTCCTCTCCTCCTGTTTGGTATATGTCATATCAGTTGAAGCATTCCTGTTATTATTTTTATTGATTGACCTGGAGTGTATCAACAGCAACATGGCTCAGGGGGAAAGCGTCAAAGGCATGGAGACCCAGGTGGCCTCCAGTGAAGGAGAAAGGGTTAAGGAGGAACAGATGGATCTTGCAGATCAACACCTTGTATTGCAACTGGGGTTAGTGACAGGGATTTGGCTTTTATGACCACAGGACCCTCTTTGACAGTTGAGCACTGCTAGGGGGAGACTGCATCCACCTGACAAAGTAGAGGAAAAGCATCTTTGCAAAAAAACTGGCCAATCTGGTGAGAAAAGCTTTATATTAGGAACACTGGAAAAGTGAGATTACAACCCATAGTCAAGTGAGGAAGGGGTGTACTGGGGTGGAAAGAAAAGAGTACAGAGTAACAGGTACAAGAGAAACCTCAACAAAGTACAAAAAAAAGGCAGGAGTCCACCTCTAGTGTATGAGCACAAATATGTGCAGCCTGGGAAACAAGCAGGGGAAATAACAGCTCCATGTGTGGTCACACAACTACAACATTGTTGGAGCAACTGAGGTGTGATGGGATGGCTCTCACAAGTGGAGTGCTGCAGAGAACAGATACACACTTCAGGAAAGACAAGCAGGAAAGACAAGGAGGAGGTGTGCTATCTCTGTAAAGGAGCAGCTCAGATGTATGGAGCTATTCTATGGGATGGGTGACTGGCTGGGTGAGAGCCTGTGGGTCAGCATCAGTGGAGAGGTCAGTAAAGGACAGCATCCTCCAAGGGCAAGAACAGTCCATCCTGATATTCAGGAAGACAAGTAAATGTATCAAGAGATTGGCTTGGATGCGCTCCAGTGCAAAAAGGCAGCATACAGGAGGTGGAAGCAGAGACAGGCTGTAAAGAAGAAATTTAAAAACACTGCCTAGGCATGTAGGCATGGTGTTAGGAAAGCCAAAGCTCAGGTCCAGTTGAGACTTGCCAGGATGTCAAGGGCAACAAGAAGGACTTCCACTGTTACATTAGTAATAGAAGGCTGAACAAGAAAGTGTGGGCTTGTTGCTGAATGAGTGGGTGATTTAGTGACAGGAGAAACAGGTAAAGCAGAGTTCCTCATTGCTTTCTTTGCTTCAGTCTTCACTGACAAGGTCTCCTATACCTCTGTGCTTAGGGGTAGGGTTCAAGGAGGAGAAGAGTTAGCAGCAGCAGCAGACGATCCAGTCAGTGACTACCTGCAAGAACTCAGCCCCACCTGAGACCATGGGATGCAACAGACTGTATCCAAGGTTATGAGAGAAATGGCCCATGCCCTCGCAAGGCTGCTTTCTATTGAATCTTAAAAATCATGCCAGTCAATGCACCAATGTCATCATTTGAGATCTCCAGATGACTGAGGCAAATATTGCACCCATCTTCAGAAAAGATCAAGAGAACAATCCAGGGTACTACAGGCCAATCAATCTCACTTCTGTCCCTGAGAAAATCAAGGAGCAAGTCCTCTTGAAACAAATTTCTGGGCACAGGAATAAGAAGAAAGTGATTGTGACAGTCAGCATGTAGTCACCAATGGGTACACCATGGTGTAAATCATGTCTGATTGACCTTGTTGCCTTCTGTGATAAAATCACTGGATTTGTGGAAAATAGGAAAGTAGTTAATATAATTTACCTCAACTTTATAAGGGCATTTGACACTGTCTCCCATGATATTCTTGTATCAAAGTTAGGACATTAAGGTCTACATGCTTGGACAACTAGACAGACAAAAAATGGGTTGGATACTCAGGCTCAGAGGTAGTAGTTAATTGGTTGTACTCTACCTGGAGGCCAGTAAAAGTGGAGTACTGCAGGAATCTATCCTAAGATTTGTACTGCTTAACAGCACTGGCTCATAAAGTTTGTGAATGACACCAAATTGGGCGGGGGATGGACCAGCTAATGGAGGGCTGGGCTGCCCTTAGACAGGCTGGAGGAATGAGCCAATACAAAACCTTAAAAAATCTGACATGGACAAATGCAAGAATCCTGCACCTTAGAAGGAAGAGCTCCTTGCAACAACACAGGCTTGTGAACCCCAAGATCTGGTCGTGGTAGGCAGCAAGCTGAGTGTGAACCAACAGTGTGCTCTGGCAGCAAAGAGGGCCAGCAACATCCTGGGCTGTGTTAACAACACAGCCAGCAGATTGAAGGAAGCAATTAACCCCCTTTACTTGGCACTCAGTAGGCTGCATCCAGAATACTGCATTCGGTTTGGGATTCCCCAGTAAGACATTGACAAACTGCAGCAACTTCAGCAGAGGCCACCAGAATGGTAGGGCCTGGAGCACTTGCCCTGTGAGGAGAGGCTGGGGGAGCTAGGCTTGTTCAACCTGGAGCAGAAAGGACTTTGAGAGGGACCTAACAGCAGCTTCCCAGTGCCTCAAGGGAGATCACCGAGTAGACGGAAACAGGCTCTTTACAGTTGTTGCACAGCAGGAGGACAAGAGACAATAGGCATAATTTGAAACGAGAGGTTCAGACTGGATACTCAACCACTGGCACAGGTTGCCCACAGAGGTTGTGCAGTCTCTGGGGGTTTTCAAGACTGGATGAAACCCTGAGCAGCTTGGTCTGACCTCAGAGCTGACCCTGCTGTGAACATCTTAAAAAACATGTGGTCAGAGAACCTGAGAACCAGCTAACTGGTAATAATGGGTAAAACGGCAGTCAAGTAGACCTTGGCTGAATTACAAAAAGGTCGAGCTTCCATCAGCTCCAGTAGGAATTTAAAAAAATTATTGTTGAGGCACTAGAGAGGAACTGGAATGATAAATGCACCAAAAAGAGAAATCGGTCATTTAGCCAGACATATACGTCCAGTAGACTTTTTAGTGCTATTAACTACCACATAATCAAGAAAGGATAAGGCAGCCTTTCCCACTGTACATCAGTCAAGAAGTCATGAGCTGGACCACAGCAGTAAATGAGCAATGCTTGTCTGGCAGTAAGCAAGCCAACGCGATCACACCCTAGATCTGAGAAGGGAAGTTCTGGATATCCACTAAAAGCTTGTAACAATCTTCCTTTTCTGAGAACCTTAGAGACTGAAGAATTTGCATCCTTAACTCTCTTTTTATTAGCTAATTATCAAAGCAAAGAGGAGAAAGATGCAGAAGACAAAGGCAAGCAGTTACCGTCACCAACTCTTTCACAAAGACTCAGGAGATCGTACAGACCAAGAAGCATGAACCTGAAGTGCTCATGGTCTTATCCAACCACAAAATGCCGGAAATGTAAGTGGGGTGGCCTGACTACCACACAAAAGAATGCAACTCAGGTCAAGAGTCATTAAGCAGTCTCTTTTCCTGAACAGCTTGTAGACAGTTCCCTGGAATGCAATACGGTGTGATATCAAATACCATGGAAGTCACACCTGTCTAACCGTAAATGGTTGAGGTTGAAAGGTGGATAAATGAATGAAAACCTCTGACTACTGGCAGCTATGAATCATAAACTACAACACTTACACTGCTTAACACGCCTGAAATCGCTGAAGTACAGGTTTTCCAAAAGGCCTCTGAGGTCAGTAAGAGTATGGAGAACACTCTTGTTTCTGGACCAAAGACAGAAGAACTTTCAACGGACAAGTGCTCAAGGAAGTATTCAATTTCCTTTAAGAAATTAGCACCCTGAAGTCATGATGATGATCAGATAAACAACTGAAAGGACAGAACGGGAGAACATGTCCATTGCATGAGAGCAATGTGGAGAGATTTGAGAGTATTCAACTCTCTTAAAAAATGGACTAGAAACATCCTCCAGCATCAGAAGAAAGGAGGCTGTGAGAAAACCAGCAGCCTTGTTAAGTAGCTTGAACCTCTATGTGGTGCCAGGAGTGTGCCAATCAGCATTTAGTCAGCCTGTTCTCTTGTGTTATCTACCCATGGAGCATATGTGTTTCTAGAACACACTCCGGCATGTTCTGGCCTTCTCCAACACAAAAAGGGAGGTCAGCTGGTCATAGAGGTATACTGGTGCTCTAATTATATGTAAATTTAGTATTTTGCTCACTTTTGATTGACACACAGCCAGAAACCTTCAAATTACCCAGTGGGCTCCAAAATATCACTGGCAGGAAGTGAGATTCAGGAAGAGAAGCATTACTGTGGGATGGGGAATGGGCTGTGATATGATTCTGTCTCTTCACTGAGGGAATAAGCAGAGACCATCCGCCTCCATAAACACTCTGGAAAGGACCACTGGTTATCAGGGTTTACTGGCCATACCCTGTCATTAGCGTAAGTGCTTGCTTATTACATCTTAACAGATGGGCTCACAGACTTTGGCACCTGAAGCCAACCCAGATCAACCCACAGGGGATATATTATCCACATGAGTAATCTTGGGAACCCAAGACAATTCTGCATGGGACTCATGCACCAATCACAAGATGATGATCTTTACATTCCACCTTGCTCACGTGAGCTTTTTCTTCTAACAGTGAGGAGTCTGAGCAAAAAGTTTGCCCCCACATCATGCAACATCATGCGTGAAGTTCCCAGATGTAGAAGTAGAAATGACTGAGGCTGAAGACTGCAGAACTATGTGGACTTGGGTACACTTGCTAACTCACAGCTGCTGGCAGCAGCTGTTGCCAGCTG